GAAGGAAGGAAGGAAGGAAGGAAGGAAGGAAGGAAGGAAGGAAGGAAAGAAGGGAGAAAATCAGATATGTATTTGTTAGGTGACCCATCCAAACCCAGAACCTGCTCTCTTTCTGGCCTGGACAGAAGCCAGGTAAGTCACAACTTGTTGTTTCTCACCCACAAGCTGGGCAGCCATACTGTCCTTCCTACACTTTCTGAGCTCTGTGCAGTCACAGAAGTCATACCCCAGGCCTGGCACACTGTCCCTTATCATCTTTACCTTGTAGAATCTGCCTTTGAGACTCAGATCACATGGCACCTCTCCTTAAGGAAGCCTTCCCTGATTCCCCCCCGCCCCACTGCCAACTCCCCACTGCAAGTTTTCTGTCCACCCTCCAAGGATTCTGTGTGTGTGTGTGTGTGTGTGTGTGTGTGTGTGATCCTCCAATAAAATGTAAGCTCCTTGGGGACAGGGATGTTTCATCTTTATATCACTAGAGCCTGGCACCCACTGCAAATATCTAATTAATGCTTGTTGAAATCTCTCATTATTACAGAATCAGAAAGCCAATGAAGCAACCAGGCCAGCATAGATCAAGTACCTAAAAGGTGCTAGGCACTGGACTCCAAAGAGACAAAGAAAAAGAAGAAGCTGTCCCTGCCCTCAGGGAGCTTAGATTCGAATGGGGACAACATGTCAAATACTAGGTATGTACAAGATACATAGAGAGTAGGTGAAGGTAATCTCAGAAGGGAAGCTCTAGCAGCTGAGGGAAGGATTTGAGTAACATCTTGAAGGAGGCCAGGGAAGCCAGGAAATAGAGGTAAGGAAGGAGACCATTCCAGGCATGGGGAATGGCCAGTGCAAAGGTGTGGAGATAGGAAATGGAACGCCATGTGTAAGGAACAGCAAATAGGCCAGTAGTACTGGCCTGGAGAGTTCAGGGAGACAATAAGGTATAAGAAAACTGGAAAGATAGAAAGGGGCCAGGATGCAAAGGACTTTATACACCAAATAGAATTTATATGTGATCCTAGAATTGGATCAGAGCTTGCATCATTTTACAGATGGGGAAACCGAGGCTAAGCGACTTCCCTAAGCCTCCATAGTAAGTCTCCGGGGCAGGATTTGGACCCACACCCTGACGCCAGAGCCTAGCTTTCTGCTCCTGGAATGCATTGGTTTTCCCATTTCTCACCTCTCTCCATCTCCACCCCATTCACTTCCCCCACTTTACTCCATTCCTGTCTATTCACAGTCCTTTTATCTGTCTGCCCCTCTATCCCTCTACCTGGCTTTCTGTAGGGCTAATCATCAGCCCCCCCCACTCCAGATCTGTCCCTCCAACTATGTCTGTTTCCCCCTACCCCAACTCCGTATCTGACCGTCTATCCCCCTCCCACAATGCCCTGCCTGTCTGCCTGCCTGCCTGCCCAGCCATTGTCCCCCCATCGGCACCAAGGGCCTGGCTGCTAAGGCAGCTCCCCCTCCTACGGCCTCCAGGCGGGGGCAGGAAGGGCCTGTGAATGAACTACTCAGGCTAGGCCCACATTCCAGAGCCAAGGGCTGGACAGCAGCCACAGCCCCTACGGCGGTGCTGAGCCCCAGCTCCCAAAGGAAGGGGCCGCTGGGGGGCCCAGGAGGGGGGCCGGAAAGGAGCAGGAAAGAGAGGGAAGGGTGGTTCCTCTTACCCCTTCCCCAGAAACACAGTCTGTGAGAACAAAACAATACAGAGGCTTCGGAGCATGTGTGTGTGTGTGTGTGTGTGTGTGTGTGTGTGCACGCACACGTGTGCATGCAGGTGGGGGAAGGGATCCTTGCTCAGATATTCACACCAGCCTTGGTATGGAGACCAGAGCCTGGACACAGGCACAGAAAGTTTCCTGCAGCAGGCAGAGAGCCTCTCAAAGGGGGACAAACCTGCTTGCCTCCCTTGGATGCTCAAACAAATGAAAAGATGGATACAAAATCTCTCTGAAAGTACAAAAGTAAAGAGACCTAGATCTGGAGCCAGAAGCCTTGGATTTGAATCTTAGCGATGCTGCTAATGATCTGTGTGACCTTGGACAAGTCTCTTTACTTCAAATGCAGAAAATGTTCTGGATCTAAACTGCTCTGGATCTAAATCCAGGATCTCATGACCCACCGCCAGCTTCTTGAATGGAGAATTAGGAGAGGAGAGAACCGGGTCCAGGACTGAGCCTCCATCAACACCCAGTTATAAGTCATGAAAAAAATGATGAATCCTCTAAGACAGGGAGAACCAGGAGACATCAATGTCAAGCAAATCCAGAAAAGACAGAATCACTGAGAGGCGGGTGATGCCGTGGAATGAGAGTCCAAGGACCTAAGTTCGAATCCCAGGCTGGCCCCAGGGGCTCATGTCCTCACCTCCACAATGAAGGGATTGAACTAGATGGGCTCTGCGGTCCCTGCCTAGGACCCTATGAGGACAGGGCAGTCAAGAGTGTCAAAAAGCATGCAATGGGAGCTTAATCAATCCTGATGGAATTGAAGTAAGGTGTGTGAGGTTATCAGGACGCCCCCTTCTGCCTCCCTTATCTCTCCCCTCCTCTTCCTCTCTCCTCTTTCTTTCTTCTCTCTCTCCCTCTCCCTCTCTCTCCCTCTCTCTGTCTCTGTCTATCTCTCCTTCTCTCTCTCTCTCTCTCTCTCTCTCTCTCTCTCCCTCTCTCTCTCCCTCTCTCTCTCTCTCTCCCTCTCTCTCTCTCCCTGTCTCTCTCTCTCTCTGTGTCTTTCTCTGTGTATCTCTCTCCCTACCTCTCTCTCAATCCCTCTCTCTGTCTCTCTCTGTCTCTGTCTCTCTCCCCCATCTCTCTCTCCCTCCCTCTCTATCTCTCTCTCTCCCCATCTCTCTCTCTCTGTGTGTCTCTCTCTGTGTATCTCTCTCCCTACCTCTCTCTCAATCCCTCTCTCTGTCTCTCTCTCTGTCTCTCCCCCCATCTCTCTCTCTCTCTCTCTCTCTCTCTCTCTCTCTCTCATACACACACACACCCTTCAAAGAAACAAGAAACATAAGTCTCTTTCCCTCTCTGAGCCTCAGTTTCTCATCTGTAAAATGGGGATGCCAGTCTTTGCATGGCTTGGTTCCTAATGAATACCAAGGCTTCATCACCACAAAGCCATAGATAAATGTCAGTTAACATTCTCTCCCACTTTTCAGCCCGATCACCAACCATGGTTAGCACCCCCACCCCATAAGAAAGAAGGGAGCAGAGTTTAGCTACAGTACCTATTCAGCATCTCTGAGCCACAGCCTCGGGCAGTAATGGTGTCTGACTTCCCTGTAGGCCACAGGACATCGGAGGATGAGGATGAGGAAAGCCCAGGAGACCATGGCTTGAGGGTGACGCTCCCTTGAATGGGGAAAGAACAGGCATGTAGGTCTGTGCTGGCCCTTAGATCAGGGGCCAGAAGGCCAGGGAGATTGGCAGGAAGAGCAGCCCTCTGGGACCCGGGTCCTCCCTCCCACACCCCACAGCCTGGAGGCCCCCAGTCCTATGGGCCAAGATCGCTGTTTTGTAGGTTCTAAGCCTTGGGTCCCCATCTTGTTCCTTCCAGATGTCCTCGGGGCCCCTGAGCCCATCAGAGCTGGTCTCCCTGAACACCTTTGCAATCAAACCTGGTACTAGCAAGATCCCAAAGGCTTGGGCTGAGAGGAAGCCAGATTAAACACCACTCAGCTCACTCCTCTAGATTTGGGGTCCCTGGGAACCCCACTCCTGCTCCACAGGAGGATCCAATTCAAAGTTTCCCAAGCCAGGGGTCCAAGCTGGGCTGGCATCAGTGAAGAGGATTAAAACATAAGCCAGAAAAAGGACGGGCGAGGTTCCCATCCTCCTCCACCCTGGAAACACAGGAAACTATCCCTTGAAAAGAGGGACTTAGGTTTCCAAAGGAACCAAAGCACTCCCTGACACCCCCTCCCTCTTCACCCTCTCCTAGTTTGAGGAAGGCCTGCTGAGCCAAGACCTAGGCTGGGTGGACCCATCTCTGCCTCTGGCCCACGTGCAGCCCCTGCCCTCCCACAGCCCATGGGCTTCACTACCTGGTATGTCAGATGTGCTGCTGAAGGACCTGTAGGGAGAGAGAGAGAATGAGGAGGGTAGGGGTAAAGGAAGAGAGAATCCAGGCCCAGAGACAAAGACTTTCCAGCCGCTCCCCCCATGTCATCCCCAAGGAGGGGTGGGTAGGGCAGGAGTGCTCCCAGGTCCTCAGGACCAGCTGGGAAAGCACCAGCAGCTCAGCCCAAACACGGCTCATGCCCTGGGCTAGCCACGCCCTCCCAAGGTCTGGTACCTCTTTGGGGGGGCAGGGTCCTCCTCTCGCTGCCGCCGGAGGATGGAGCCAGCACTAGGGGGGAAGGGGAGGATGGAGAGGCGGTTGATCTCCTTCTCACTATCCACTGTCTCCTCCTGGGAAGGGAAGATCCAACAAGGAGTCTGGGCACCATTCACTCGCCCTCCCCATTCCCAAAGAGCTCCCAGTTTAATTCTGTACTATGTATGGCCTTGAGCATGTCACCTAACCTCTGGTCCTCAATGTCGTCATCTGTAAAATGAAGATATGTGGGCAACTTCATTCAGGCCTAAGCCCTATGACCCCTTAGCTATTCTCCAATTCACAGGTCAGGAGACCAAGCCTTAGACAAATCGGGGGCAAAACTGGGGAGCACAAATCATCCAGCTTCTAAGCCAGGCTCCATGCCAGCCCACATGGCCTCCCACACCTTTCAGCTACACCCCATCCAGAGACAAGGGACCTAAGAAACCCAGGCCCATAGAAACAATTCCCTTTTCTAAAGGACTTTGAAGTTTACAAAGGAATTCCTTCTCAACAATCCTCTTCAAGCTAGGAAGTAAGAGGACCAGTTTTGTTTTGCTTTTTTTTTCTGATGGGGAAACTGAGGCTCCGAGGAGGGAAGTGCCGTGTCCCAGGTGACACAGATAGGAAGCAGCAAAGCCAAGACAATGACCCCCAAGTCCAGGACAGTAACTGCTTCCCATCTACCACCGCCATCCCCAATTCCTTTGAGTTCGGCCTCTTACCAAAGTATGGGGCTCAGATCCTCCAGAAGTGGTGGTCTCACCAGCCACGTCCAGACTCCCCAGCAGAGAGGGGCACTCACTTAGACTCCACGTGCTGCTGAGGTTGGAGCAGAGGGAGTGAGAAGAGTTGCAGGCCTGAGGAGAAAGGAGGGAAGGTCAGTGATGGCCCCACCAATCAAAAGGCTTCATTAAGCACCAAGTACTTGGTAGCAACAAGATGAGAGCAGGCAGCTCTGCCCTCAAGGGGCTTACACTCTATAGAGATTCCAACACATTGCAGCTAAGTATAGGATCTAGACAAAGTAATAGGGGACTCAGGGAAGGTTCCAGAAGCAAAAGACCCAGAGAATGAATGTCTAACCCTAGTCCACCCTTCCCAAGCTTCAAGATTCCCACCTCACTTTGGGCAAACCCCAAACTCAGCGCCATATTCTAGAAGAAACCTCAATCATCCTCAATCCCAGGAAGCCTGAAGGGTCAGCCCCATTCTGGCTGTCTTGCCCCCTTTGCCCTTCCCAAAGACCAAGGGCATGGGTCCCTCTATCCCCTCTGGCTTCAGAGTGGACAAGGCCACTCCTGCCACTTTGACGAGCGAGGTGTCGCCAGTTAGAATCCTTCTGATAATCTAGTGAAGCGCCAGGCCTTCCCATCTGCCCTGCTTCTGTGCCCTCCTGACCCCTGGACCTCGCCATCGCCCGACGGCTGAACCCTCCTATGCATATTATACTACACACACGCACACACACACGCACGCGCACACACACACACACACACACACTCCTTGAGAATACTGGATTTTCCGTTTGTGTCCCCAGCACTTGGCACACAGTGAACACTTAAATGGTTTTTCATCCAGTCAGTCAGTCCTTTAAGCAGCCAGCTCCCTACACATCCCAGGAGCACATGCCCTTGGTCAGCATCCCAGCCCGGCCCCAGTCTGGTCCCGTCCATCTCCGGGGTGTCACTCGCCTCACCTTCATGCCCACACTGCCCTGGACCCGCTGGAGCTGGGCTTCCAGCAAGCCCTTGGCCCCCTCGAGCTGGGTGACGGTGGTCAGCAGCTCATCCCTCTCGGCCTCCAGGCCTCGCACCTGCTTCCGGTACTGGTCCTTCTCAATCAGACTCTTCGAATACTGGAGTTGGATATGGTCCCGGCTCTGGATGGCCTGCAGGGAGGGTCGGACCACGTCAGGAAGACTGAGTCCCATTCTGGGCCCTAAATTTAAGGAGGCATCACAGGATCCCAGCTCTAGAAGGACACTTAGAGGAAACTGAGACCCACAAAAGAGAAGTGAACTACCCAAAGGCACCGTGGTAGCAGACGGCCAAGCCAAGATCTGAACTCAGTTCCTCTGCATCTAAATCCAGGACCCCTTCCACTGCCTTGTATGCCTACTGCCCACTGGCATCTGAAACTATGGGCTCAAGAGATGGGTAGAAAGGAGCCCTTGAAAGGCACCAGCTTTTAATGGGATAAGGAACCTGGAGTTGGGTTTAACTGGCACTTATTCTTTTTTTTTTGAAGGCAATCAGGGTCAGTAGCTAGTAAGTGTCTGAGGCTGGATTTGAACTCAGGTCCTCCTGATTCCAGGGCCAGTGCTCTATTCACTATACCACCTAGCCACCCCACCAATGTTTATTCTCAAAGAATCAAAGCCAGAAGGGATTTCTACTCCCACCCCCAAGTTCCCTCTAGGATGTTCCTGACATTCTAGGGATGCCACCCAGCCAAAGCCGGAAGGCCTCTCCTGAGGACCCGCTCCCTCCCCAGGTATCGGACCTGTACTGCAAAGGGAGTCCCCCACATCAAATAAGTTGGAGGTCTAAGCCTATCTCTATCCCTCTTTGTGAAGTAAGTAGGAACAGAGGATTCCCTGAAAGCCAAGGATGTCTACACCCCCATTTTACAGATGAAGAAACTAGGCTCAGAGAGGGTTAAATGGCTTGCCCAAGGTCACAGAATTATAACTCAAGTCTTACGACTCCAAACACTTCACTCTCCTGACTGCCCTGCCTTCCTACCACCTTGGTTGGTTTTTTTTTTAATTTTATTTCTATTTCCAGTTGCACATTTTTCCTTTCCCCCACTCATTGAGAAAGCAAGAAACACAATGCCCACTTTACATATAGAGTCATGCAAAACATATTTCCCCATTAGCCATGTTCTAGAAAAAAAAAAAGCAAGAAAAATAAAGGAAAAAAATCTGCTTCAATCTACGCTCTGGGCACATCATCTCTTTATCTGGAGGTAGAGAGCATTTCTATCGTGACTCCTTTGGGGCTGTGCTCCCACTTTTAAGCAGGCAGAACTCCCCACTGCTCACCCAAGTCAAAGAATGCTCCAGGAGGGTTTTCCTCCCAGAGTGCTCCAGCAGTGACCACACGGAAGGGAAATGGGAGCTGATGGAGCCTGACTGTGTCTGTATTCTACAAGACCGCTCAGTCAGCAGGTTTTCTCTCCCTGTCTTTCATTCAGTCCCTAGAAAAAGCTTTATCCTCACTGAGTGAACTCGGGAGAAGAAAGCGAACGTTCCAACATCCCAACATCCCAACATCCCGCCTGCCCAGGCTAAGCAGGACAGGGACTGAAGCCCAGATCCCTTAACTGGGGCAGGGAGGAAAGAGCCAGAAAGGGCCACACCCCCCAACAGCTGGGGGCTGGGGAATGGCCAGGAAAGAACACGCTAAGCAGAGATAAGAAGAAAAAAGTCACTAAGTCGGGGCTGGAGTGTGGAGGGCTGGCCCCTTTCCTGCCTCAAGTCTTATTTCCTCAATCAATCACATTTATTTAAGAACCTACTAAGTACCAAGCCCTGGGGAGACAGAGAAAAAGCAAAATCAGTATATTGGTTACAAGAGTTTTGCTTCTGTTTTTTCCCAATGAAAAAGAAGAGAGAAAATAGATTTTTATTCATTAAAAATTAAATTAAATATTCTAAGGGAGGTAGGAGAGACAAGACATATAGAGATTGGTACATCCAAACTTTAGAAAAGGGAGATGCTTCCTACAGAAGGGAAGTCTTGAAGGAAGCTGGGATTCTGAGAATCCAGGGTGAGAAGGGAGAGCATTCCAAGTAGGGGACACAGCCAGGGCAAAGGCTTGGCATGTCTGAGCTGAAAGGGACCTCTGAACAGGAAAAGATGCCCCACAAGTGGCACTCTGGGAAGAGAAGCTCACTGCCTTCCTGGGTAGTCCATCCTTTCCATGAGCCCATGCTGACCATCGGGAAGTTGTTCCTGCCCTGGAGGAGGGCCGCATCTGAACTTGCCCCTGGGGCTGGGTGAGAGGCAAACAAGTGCTCCCCATTAGCATATTCCAGTCTCAGCCAGCCTTGGGGCCAGGGCTCCCAGGGTACTAGAAACTGGGGCCTGGAAAGCAGGAGAAGGGCAGCCTTGGCACCAATGCCACCCGGGGATTTCTGCCCGCCCAGAACTTCTCACGAGTCTTTGGCTGGATTTCTTTTACCCCTTTGTATCATACTTGACCTTGTGGCATTAATCAATCACTCATTAGCATTTATTAACTGTGTGACCTGTGCAGGGGACGGCGTCCTCCCCAGGCCTCAGCTTCATCGTCTTTAAAACAGGGGAAATGGCCCTGATGAATTCTAAGATCCCTTCCAGCTCTCATTTGTATGACCCGCTGTATATCCTGCGAGGGAGACGCCAATTCAAAAATGAAGAATTTCTGCCCTCAAAAAGCTTCCAATCTGGGCACGGTAAGTAAACAAGATAGACACGAGGTAATGGGGATGAGGAAGGGGTGATCAGGTCCCATGGAGTAGGAAGTGCTGCTAAGGACTAGAAGAAGAGGTGAGCTGGGAGGGCATTCCAGGCAGGGGGCACAGCTAGTGCAAAGGCAAGAAGACAGGAAACAGAATTTAGCAGAAGAAGAACAGCGGGGGGCGGGGCTTTGTTTTATTTTGTTTGTTTGTTTCTTGGTCTGCCTTTTCTTTTGCAACACGGCTAATGAGGAAATATGTTTTGCATGACTTCACCTGTGTAATTGATATCAGATTGCTTGCCTGCTCAAGGAGGGGAGACAAGAGGAAGAGGAGGAGAGAATTTAAATTCAAAACTTTTCAAAAATGAATGTTAAAATTTTGAACATATAATTGAGAAATATTTATTAAATTATTAATTTAATTATTAATTAAATATTTAAAAATATTTTTATTAAAATATATTGGGGGAGCGGAGAGAATAGCAAGAAAGCCAGTTGGGTCAGATCCCCAAGTGTATGACGGCGGGTAACACATGATAAGGCTGGAAGGGTAGCGAGGGTCAGGCGCAAAGAGTTCAGACGGCAGACTGAGGGCTTTAGATCTGATCCGAGACATTAGACGGAGCCACTAGAAGTCAGTAGTCAAACCTATGCTTTAGGAAAGTCCCCGTGGGGGCAGCTAAGTGGATAGAGCACCGGCCTTAAAGTCTGGAGGACCTGAGTTCAAATCCGGCCTCAGACACATAACACTTACTAGCTGTGTGACCCTGGGCAAGTCACTTAACCCCATTGCCTAGCCAAAAAAAAAAAAAGAAAGAAAGAAAAAAAAAGTCTCTGTGGAGGCTGAGATGGAGTGAGAAGAGCCGGAAGGCAGGAAGATGAGGGAGGAGGCTATTACCACAGTCCAGACAAGAAGGGATAGACTTCTCCGGGCACAGAAGTTTGGACGTAAGCTCCCTGAGGGCAGGCACTGTGTTACTTTTCATCTCCATATTCCTCCATGCCAAGAACAGGACATTATCCACAGAAGGAACTTAAGGTTTGCTAATTAATCAATAGAATTCTAGGACTTGAGAGATGGAAAGGCCTGATTTCAGCTCAAGATCTAAGCTCCCTATGCCTAGTGTGACCTTGGGCAATTCAAACTCCTTCTCTAAGCCTCAGTTTCCTCATCTATAAAATGGGGTATGGAATTAGTGACCTTCAGGCCCCTTCTAAATACTATAATCCCAGGCTTTCTGACCCCACACTGTTTCCACCACTATTATGTATGTGACGTTTCCTGGCTGAGCCTTCTATATCACCCTACCAATGCCACCAGCCCCAGCTTAACCTCCCCCTTCAAGCCTGTGCCCCTCCTCCCACTGCTCTCCTGGCCTCAAGGGCCTGTCCCCCTCTTCCTTCCCTTCAGTAACCCAACACCACCAAAGCTGACTTTTTTTCCAGCAACAAAAGAAACATAGGAAAAGGCAAGAAAATCACAGCATCCCAAAGTGCTGAGTTACAGATTCCAGGAAATTTGTAGGATAGGTCTAATCTGGCCACTGAGGCCAGCAGCGGCTTCCTGGACTAACTGGCCCCATTCCTATCTCCCTCATATCTGGACCTGATGCAGCCACACGGCCAAACATCCACTCAGTGCCTCGGACGGACGGCCCGGGCTCACCAACAACCAGCTCCTTGGTGCTGCCACGACTGAGGACTCTCTCTAGCCCCTTCCAGCCCCTTATCAAGAGCGCTACAGAGGAGGGGGTGGGAATGATTGCCGGAGAGCACTCACTCCATCCCTTCCTCCTTCAGGGAGGACAAAAAGTAATCATGTAAAAATAGCATGAAAATAATAATGATAAAGTAATAATAATAGCTTCCAGGAAGGAGGAACTAGTTGATTAAGCCAGCATTTGTACTAGAGTGGTTAAGAGACTAGGAGGGAAGGACTGACCCTTGAGCCGCAGAGAAAAGGTCCGGCCAGAGAGCTGCAGCTGGGACCTAGCGAAAGGGAAAGGAACTTGACAGAGGTCATATGGAGACAAGACGAAGACCCTCTCGATACCCAGATCCGGGACTCTTTGTCCCATACCACAATACCCAGCCCCCTCTTTTTGCAAGTGAGGAAGGTGAGGCCCAGAGAACTGAGATGATTTGCTGGTTGTTAAGTTGGAGAACCAGACGTCTGAAGGAGAGAGAGAATTGGTGGCTGTGGTTAGGTCCAGGGACCTTCCCCTCGTGTCATTGCTGGTCAAAGTCATGACTTGTGGGGCACCTGAACCCCAAGGGAACACCTCCCACTGAATCTCAGACTCTCCAAATTGGGAAAGACCTCAGAGCACCTAGCCCAGCCCAAACCCGACCAAGAATCCCTTTCACCCCAGTAAGGGACAAGTGGCGGTGATAAGGGCCCGGCCCAGCCCCGCCTCTCTAAGCTGGGTCCCAGGTCCCGTCCCTGGAGCATCAGCAATGAATGAATGGCTTTGGGCATCCGTTGCAGGCAGACGGCCACATCAGACCAGCTCCTCGCTCGGGTCGGGGGCTCATAGCTAAGCGCAGCTGGGCAGAAGGGTGTCTCACCTGGTCCCTCTCCTTCTCAATCTCCTCCAGCTGCACCAGGACAGTGGCCATTCGGTGCTTATAAAGGCCGCAGTCTTTCTGCAGGGTCCTGTGCTTCAGCTGCAGGTCTTCCATCTCCCGTAGGTACTGGGGGGTGAAATAAGGGGGAGCATCAGGAAACCAGGCGATCAGACATTTACAGGTGGACTTCACATTTCCATGGCACTTAACAGTTTACAAAGGGCTTGGCTGTATCGCGGCTCTTGAGAAACTCAAAGCAGATAACGTGCAAAAACTTCTATGGAAACCGGGAAGCAGCTAGTTTAGATGGCTGAATGGATAGAGCGAGGACTCAAGATGGAGAGTTCAAATCCTGCCTCAGATGCCTATCAGCTGGGAGGCCCAGGCCAAGTCATTCAACCTCAGTTTTCTCATATGTAAAATGGGGATGATAATAGACCTCCATTACAGGGTTTTTGTGAGGATCAAATAAAATAACCTGGAAAGTGCTTTGCAAACCATTAAGTGATCTATAAGTGCTGGCTGCTATTATTATTAAATGTTGGAGGCATTTATTAATAGGAAAAGTCGGGTTGTCTCTATCTTGCAGATCACAGACTTAGGGTTAGACCTAGAAAGGCCCTTTGAAGTCATCTGGTCCAACCCCATCTTTTTCCATTTGAGGAAACTAAGGTTCTCCTTCATTAGACTGTAAGCCCCTGGAGGGCAAGGGCTATCTTTTGCCTCTTCGTGGCTTAGCACAGTGCCTAGGACATAGGAGGAGCTTAATAATTGTTTATTGATTGATTGTTGTAACCCCCATTAAACTGGAGGGCAGGGACTTCCTCTTCTCTTTTTTTATCCTCCCCAGCTTAGCACAGTGCCTGACACATAGTAGGCACTTACTGATTGACTGATAGGACAGTGACTTCCTCAAGGTCACACAGCTAACAAGCAGGGGATCTGAGACTCGAACCCAAGCCTTGTGCAGCCAAATTCAAGTGTTTTTGGCTCCTCCACACTACAGACCTCATGGAGAACCAGGATACATGTGGCCATCAGATAGAACGTATGTTCCTCAGGGGCAGAGGTTTATTTTTTGTCTTGGTAACTCCTGGGCTTTGCACAGAGTAGGCACTTAAGAGATGCTTAGTGAATTGATTTTTACTCCTAACAATAGAATGGAGTGAGGTCAACGATCCAGTGGGAGTGGACTCCATGACCTTGGCCCAGTTAGGGCCATGATTCAATAGACTGGGTCAGCCAAGAACAAGGCTCTCTAGGGAATGGCTTCTCCAGTGATGGTTTAGGAATATAATGGAATATTACTGAGCCCCTGATAAACAAACATGAGGAATGTGGAGAACAAGCTGAAAACTAAGACACAGGAGGCAATGTTTCTCAGTGAATGGAGTATTGGACTTGGAGCCTGAAGGCCTGGGTTCAAATCCTGCTTCTGACTGTTACCAGCTCTGTGACCCTGAGCCTCAGTTTCCATATGCTGAGGTCCCCCCAGCTCTAAATCCAGGACTGTCCGATTTGCCTTTCAGTGTATTGCTGGTGCTTTCTACAACTCCTGGCTTTTAACAAATGTCTGTCGATAGACTGACCGATGTCAAATGAAGCAAACAGAAGCAGGAGAGCAAACTATCCTGAAAGGCAGATGAGCTCAGCCTAATGCAACGACCAATATTGGTTCAGGTGCGAAGCCAAGCTACGCCCTTCCCCACCCTCCCCCGCCCTCCCCTCATCTCCCCAGAGAGGCCTGGGTCTGGAGCACTGCAGATGCTCTCAGCGTGGCTTAGCCTCTGTTCTGGCTTACGAGGAAGGGTTCCATGGGAGGGGACGACGGCAGGAAATGACTGTTCCATACAACAAAAGGCATCAGTGAGACTTGTTTTTAAAAGAACAGATGGGACCCTGGGGAAAGGCGGTCATCAGGAGCTGACCCAAAGAGGAGTCTCAGGCGCAGTGTGAAGGAGAGGATAAGGGGGAGGCGGGGGCCCTGGAGTCACAAAGGCCAGAGTTCCAGGCCTGGCCAGGCCACTTATCAGCTGTCTGATCCTGGTCAAGTCACTTCCCTTCTCCAAGCCTCAGTGTGCTCATCTGCAGAATGGGCACAGTCATGCTCATAAAAACACAGGGCTGTGACAGGGAACAGTGTGGGAAAGGGTAAATCTATGGAAACAGGAGGTATTATTAGGATGTAACTGAGGATTCCTGATGGGGGTCCCCCACTCTGCTGTTACCTTAATCCTCCTCTGAAGACCACCAAGGAAGGCATGGCCAGAGGGGTGTGAAAAAGAAGGCTCTAAGGATCCCAATTCCAGGTAGGGCCACCTGCTCCACTACGTTACAGATGAGGAAACTGAGGCCCACAGAGGGGCAGTGACTGGCAGTTAGTCCAACCGCTTCATTTTCAGATGAGGAAACTGAGGCCCAGACAGGCTAAATGATGTGCCCAAAGTTAGAAAGGTAGCAAATGGTGAACAGGTGGGATTTGAACCCAGGGCCTCAGACTCCACAGCCCGGCTCACTCCACTCTATCACAGCTCCCATTTCTATGGGCATTTTTAAAGTTTACAAAGCATCTTCCCAGACACAACGTCATAAAGTAGGGAATATAGGCACTGTTGTGTCTACTTCTCAGAGGAGGAAACTGAGGGTGGGTCAGAGAGGGGAAGTCGCTTTTGAAGGGTCACAAAGCTTTAGGAGTAGAGCCAGGATTTGAACCCTGGTCTCTCGGTCTCAGTTCAAAGCAATTTCTGCTATGGCCTCTTAGGACCTGGCGTGGTCCCAGATTGCATCTGGCCTTGAGAATGCCAGGCAGACTCAGAGGCATCCTGGTTCCCAGGTCTCCCACGCCCAACCTGCTGGAAGCTTACCTTGTCCCGAAGCTGTTCCGCCCACTGGAGCTCTCCCTGGACGTCATGGAGCTTCTGACAGAGCTCCTGACGATCGTCCTGAGCTTCCTTCCAATCGTGTTCTAAGATGTCCAAGAGGATCTGCTCCGAGCCGGGGTCCTGGGGAACCACAAAGCAGACACAACTCCAATGCCCCCTGTGCGGCAGGAAGAGCCCCCAGAAGGCTGGGAGGCAAGAAGCGCCTCCCCGCCACCAGCGCCAGCCAGCGCCAAGCCACTCAAAGCAGAAGGAACTGAGCCACCTGGGAAGACCCGGATGGACCAGTCCAGAGGAAAGGGAGCAGAACCAGCACAGCTTCTACCCTAACCACACTGAAAAGACTGAAGGCCTTAAAATCCCTGATCGACGCAATGACCATGATTCTGGAGGATGAAGTCTTGGGCCACCACCCAGCTTAGACTCAGCATGCAGAATAAGACACAGATCTCGGGTACGGCCAACATAGCAATGTGTTTTACTTCACTATTTGTTATAAGGGTTGTTTTTTTCTCTTTTGTTTTAATTGGGGCAAAGGTGGGAGGGAGAGAAATAAATGCTCGTTAATTGAAAAAAATAAAGCAATAGTAGTAAATGTCGTGGTAAGAACACAGACAGCTAAATGTGGAAATTTGTTTTGCATGACTTCATATGCATAATGGGTATTGTATTTCTTGCCTTCACAATGGGTGGGGAAGGGAAAGAATTGGGGGCCGATAATAAAATCAAGTTGAATGGGGAAAGAAGAAAGAGAAAAGAAAAAGAAAGGGAAGGAGAGACAGAAGGAAGGAAAAAAGGAACAAAGGGGAGGGAGGGAAAGAAAGAACAAAGGGAGGAAGGAAGAAAGGAAGGAAGGAAGGAAGGAAGAAAGAGAGAAGAAAGGAAAGAATGAATGAAGGAACGAAGGAAAGAAAGAACAAAGGAGGAAAGAAGCAAGCAAGAAAAAAAGAAAGGAAGGGAGGGAGGGTCATTGGATTCCAATTCAGAGGACCTCAGTCTAAAACCCTGCTGTTTCATTGACTGGGGTTCAGTTTCCTCATCTGTAAAAGAAATAAGAGAGTTGGACCAGATGACTTCTAACATTCCCTCTAGCCCCAGCTATGACTCCAAATCCCTTCATTTCCTTGGGCCTCTTATCCGTAAAATAAGAGAGCTGGACTGAATGGCTTGAGGTCCCTTCCAGCTCTAAATCTACTCTCCAAGGAAACGGCCTCAGTTTCCTCTTCTGTAAAAAGAACTAAGTCATCCCTGCTAACTCTATAAGCCAAAGAACTAAAGTTATTCTCCAATGTACACGGCAGCCTCAGTCCTAGATTGGGAAACATCTATCTGCCTCCCCTGTTATAAATTTCAAAGTTTCTACTCTGAGAACTTTCCTTACAGCTCTTGGGGGGAATAGAGGGTGAATGTATTAATTATCCTCATTTATGGATAAAGAAACTGAGGCCCAGAGGCAAGGTCAGATGCCACAGTTGCACAGCTCACAGGTGGCCAAATACGATGCCATGTCCAAGTGTCCTCGCTCAGTGTCCGATGTCCTTTCCCTTACTCTGGGGAAGAAGAGGAGAAGAGAAGGGAGGAGGGGAGAACAAAACAGGACAGAACACTGTCCCTGTCCCTGGATTCTCACCTTCCCCACCACCAGAAGCCTTCATAAGGACAGAAAAGGAGGTGCGGGAGGGGGTCCTGGCCCACCCAACCCTCCAGGGCTCAGGACCTGCTTTAGGCCTTCCTGAAGCTCTCGAAGCGAAGTGGTCAGTCTCTGATTCTCAGCCTGCAGCTCGGAGATGAGGTCGGGTGCTTCGGGATCCTTCTCCTCCACGTCTAGGGCAGAGGGGGCTGGGCTCCGAGCTCTCCGGAGCATCGAGCACTCCTCCTCCAGCCGGCTCGCCTTGCACCGAAGCTGGTCTACCTGGGAGGAGAGCAGGGAGGGAGAGATGGTCAGCTGGGGCCCTAAGCCATGATGCACTTCCTACCCATGTCTCAGCCCTTCATCTTTTAATAACAATCATCTGTGAGTATTATCAAAGCAACTACTGTGTATCAGGCACAGGCGAACCAAAGACAAAAGTGAGAGGGCCCCTGCCCTCAGGCAGCTTACATTCTAACAGAGGAGACAACACACAAAGGGAAATGATGGCCAGGGAAAGGGATTTGGGGACTGGTTAGTTGTTCCATTGGGCAGCCAATCAGCAAGGCCTTTCAAGAAGCAATCAATTAATCTGTCAATAAGCATTTCTTAAGCACCCACCGTGTGTCAGGCACTGGGGATACAAAGGTACAGAGGAGCAACGGTCCCTGCCTTCATGGAGCTTACATACTATATAAGGAAACCACACATCCACAGATAATAAAAACAAAATATATGCAAAGTGAATGCAAATTAACTACAACTCACATTTCCCCAGTGCTTATGGGCCATTTTGAATATCCGCGCACCAGTATGAATGGCCTCAGAGTCAGGAAGACCTGAGTTCAAGTCTCATCTCAGATCTATTTACTATGTGATCCTGGGCAAATTTACTCTGTGACCCTGAGCCTCAGTTTCCTCACTTGTAAAATGGGAGGTCTGGACCCTTCTGGCTCTAAACCAATAAACCTTTGATCTCCAAAATACTTTCCCTCCCAAGAACCATGGGAAGTAGGTGACCCAGGCATTGTTATTCTCATTTACAGATGAAGAAACTGAGGCTTTCACCCACGTGATCCCCTATTCCTTGAAGCCATGGTAGGCAAGCCCCCTCCAACGGGAAGCCCTTCCGGACTCCCCAAGTTGAGAATGCCCTCTACTGCTTCCACTTATCCTGTATCTACTTATCTTTCTATGTGTCGTCTCCCACCCCGCAAGTCCAGGAGAAAGGGATCTCAATGAGGGCAGAGACAGTTTTGTCTGTGTCTTCATGTGCTAGCGGCTTGACTATGCCTGGCGCACAGTAGGGATGTTTGATGGATTGAAGTAATGGCATAAGGGAGGGAGAGGAACAGGCATTGAACCGTTCTAAGGGGGCAGAACACATGGTAACAACACACAGTGGGACAATTCTTTGAGGCCCTGAAGAGCCCTTAGTGCCAGATGTGGAGTCAAGAACACCCAACTTTGAATCCTGCCTCAGATGGACAGGGTACAAGGCCTGGAATCAGGCAGTCCTGAATTCACACCCCACCTCAGACATTTAACAAGCCAAGTGACCCTGACTAAGCCACTTCACCACTGTCTGTCTCAGTTTCCTCATTTGTAAAACGTTCATCATAAAAACATCTCTTTCCCAAGATAATCGTGAAGACCGGATGAGGTCACACTTGTGAAGTGTTTTGTAAATCTTAAAGCGCTCTCTCCAAAAATGCCAGTCACTTATTATTGTTGTTACTGTCTGCGTGAGCCATGGCATCGTGGCATCCCCAGCCCTGCCATTAACACTAGAAGGACCAGAACTTAAGAATACTTCAAAGGAAATATTCTTAAATGCAGTGCACTTCTTTATCCTTAAGGCAGATAAAATAGAGACAGAATGAAATTTCAGAGTGAAAGTATATTAATATATATTATAATAGATATACTTATACTAATAAAATTATATTAATATACCATAGCAATAAAAGTATATATTATATTAATAAAATTATGTTAACACATCAATACACTATGTTTATATATTATATATTTATATATAGTATATACAATAATATATAATATGTAGTATATATAATATATAGTATAGTAATATATCAATATGCTGTGTTAATATACTGACATATTAATATCTCAATATGCTGGACTGATATGTGGATATATTAATATATAAAATATATTGTTTCAGAGTAAAATTCTAATATTTTTTGTACATTTGATGCACCTGGTCCCTCTAATGCTAACTCCCTATGTGACCTTGGGCAGCATTTCCTCATCTAGGCCTCAGTCCCCTCACTTGTAAAATGAGGAGTTGCGATCAATGTTTTTTAAGGCCCCGTCTCCAACTTTGCCATTCTATGTTTTAAGGACCTCGCCCCCAGCTCTGAAATCCTTCCACTTTGTAGGATTCCTTCCAGTTCAGGTATATTCTGCATGCTAACGTCCTTTCCAGTTGTGAGAATCTAAAAAGTTCTGACATTACATATTCCCATTTCTTCCAGCTGTGACCACCTCTGCTCCCTGATTCTGCTCTCAGAGTCCCAATAAATACTTGTCAAATGGAAACTCAGCTGAACCCTATCAGCGACTTGAAGGACTACTCAGCAGAGCTTACACACCAAAATACCCAGTTAACATCTAGGTAGAGTTACGGCATGTCCTTGAAAGTCAGAAAACTGCATGTTGAAAAGGTTTCCCAGAATTCCAGAGTTGGCTGCGACTCCTATGAATAGCGCAAATCAAAGGGGCATAACCGTGAAGTCCTTAGAAAAATGTCAGGTCAAGAACAGGGGCAGCAGAAGAATGCAGTCATTGTTGGCCAAAGGTCTCCATGAACTCATGGCACGGCGTCCCCTCCCACCCACACGCCAGTCCTTACCCAGCAACCCTTCAGTGTGTGCCAGAGCCTGGTGCCTAGAGGGTGCCCACAGTGGAGAAATCACCTTGGAAAAGAACACGCCCCACGGCGCAGGCCCCAGAGGAAGACACAGGTGCACACACATGCAAGCGCGCACACACACACAGAGTCAGCTCCTTCTTTTAGATCCCAAAGGGCCCTTAGTGCTGGAGATGTGTTAAGAAAACCAGGGTTTGAATTGTGCCTCAGACACTTACTGGCCATGCCGTCCTGAGTAAGTCACTTGACTTGTCTCAGCATCAGTTTCTTAATCTACAAAATGGAAGAATTGGAACTAAATGATCTGGAAGGTCCCTCCCAGCTCTAAATTTACAATTCTATGATCCTATGACTTACTGTATGACCCTGGCAAGTCATTTGACCCTCTTATTTCCTCCCTCATAAAATGAGGATAATAGTACTTACCTCCTTGGGTAGCTATTAGGAGCAAATCAAATGAGATCATATTTCTAAAGTGCTTTGCAAGGCTTGAAGGGCTATATAAATATTATTTATATTTACTAATAATATATTGATTAAATTATAAATATATTTATATATTATATTTATAAATATATAAATTTATAAAATAAATATATTAATAATAAAATGATAAATTAATAATAGCTTGTTAGATCTATTATTAATATTATTACATATGAGGAAACTGAGGCTCAGAGATGAGGAACAACTTGCCCAAGATGAAAAAGGGAGATAGAGACAGAGTCAGCACTCAAATCCAGGTCTCCCAGTTCCCAGACTAGTACCCTTCCCAAGACTACAGGCATCTCAAAGACCAGAGAAGCAAGGACCAGCCCCCTCCCCATATGAGGCTCAGAAAGAAATCTTCATTTTTGCTTCCAGGTCAGGAAATACGATAGAAAGGCTGTCGGTACCTGATGTTCATTCAAGATTAGTCATACATACATACAAACACACACACACACACACACACACACACACACCCCTAACCTAAAGCCTAACACCAATACACCCCCCTATAGCCACAAGTTGAGGAGCAGAGAGCACAGAATTATAGAATCTCAGAGCAGAACCCAAGGTTGGGAGGGAGGGAGGGAGAGGAGTTGGGGCATGGTTAATAGCAGAGCTGGGTAGTTAGGTCTCAGAAAGAATTTAAGCTCCTTGAGGCTTACATTTTTTTACATTATTTTCCTTTTGTCCCTGTATCCTACCACAGTGCCTATCCCAGTGCCTGGCACATAGCAGGTGCTTAATAGATGCTTTTTGATTCATTTATTCATTCTGACTCTCTCCAACTTCGAGGCCACAGAATTTACACAGTACCTGATGGAGAATCACCTCTACTTCGCTTGCGATGATTACAACCAATCTACACTCTCATGTACGATCAACAGCACAGACACACAAACCAAACCTCATGCAAGCTGCCTAGAGCCACACACAAATCATGACAATCAGCCTACAGGCCCACAACAACCTCATAAACAACCACCGGGCGGACCCAGGAGCTCCATTCATGCACACCTCGTATCACAGCCCAACCTTGGGCCCACGCTACAACACAGACAGGACCCTGCGACCCCTTTGTGTATGACTGATGGCAAAGAGTCAAAGAAAGCACACTGGACTCCACCTCTAGGAGAGAGGTTTGGTCTAAGCCAGCTACACTTTCTTACCCCATCTGCCACATGATTCATATCAAGCCTTTGTGGTTAAAAAAATAAAAGGTGGGGAGTAGAGGACAGAGGGAAGGTGTCTACCACTTTAGAATAGCAAAGTGATCCACAGTGACTGAGAACCAAGACCCCACCCTGAACTGCATGATGCTCTGGCCAAAGGAGTCAGCTATAGTGATACAATAATAATGATGGAAATAATAATAATAATGATGGAGAGGCAGCATGACATATAAACAGAGGGCCATCTTCGAGTCAGAAGGACCTGGGTTCAGATCCTGTCTCTGACACTAGCTATGTGACCGTGGACAAATCCCTCTCTGGGCCTCAGTTTCCTCACCTGTAAAATGGAAGGGGGGGAGGGTATCAGACTCAGTGGCATCCTAGGTCTCTTCCAGATCGAGATCTAGGATTTTTATGTTCTTGATGATTTATAATGACACAGATGTTAACGGAGAGCAAATCACAGCTTCTCGGCGCCCAAGGCAATCCGCTAAGAATATAATTTACAAGTGATATAGTTTTCACTCCAAGAGCTCCCTATGTCAATAAAGTCATGGATCAAGACCAAAAATAATCAAAAATTTAATACTGAAAACTTCCATTTCTGTAGGCCTTTAAGGTTTTCAAAGTACTTCACACATATGATCTTACGTGATCTTCACAACCACCCTAGATGTAGGTGCTACAGTTATTTCCATTTCATAGATGAGGAGACTGGGAGGTTAAATGACTGGTCCAAGGTCCCTCCCAGGACATGCCAAGAGGCAGGATTAGAACCCAGGTGTTCCTGATGCCAAGTCTAGCACTGGTCACTACACCCCACACGATCACATGAATTTATGCCAGATCAAATGATTTTCCCTGATGTCCCAACCTCCCTCACTGGGCTATCGTGAAGCTCAGGTGAGATTATTTTTATAAAGCCTCATGCAAACCTTAGATCAACAGATGCATGTCACCTACTATTAATAATAATACAGCATTGCTATAGCACTGCAAGGTTTGCAAAGCACTTTAGAAATTATCTGCTTTGATCCTCACAATAGCCCTGGGAGGGAGGTGCTATTATTATCCCCATTTTACAGTTGGGGAGACTGAGGCACTGACTTGCCTTGGGTCACAAAGGTAACAGGTGTCTGGGACACTAAGGACTTCATGACCCCAGGCCCAGCACTCTATCCACTGCGCCACCTCGATGTTTCTATTGCCCGTAGACTATAATCATTGATCTAGTAATGATAGGTCTATCTATCTATATTTTTTTTAAAATTTAAAAAGCCTTACTGACATTGCGACATTTGATCCATATAATAACCTGGAGATTCAGTAAAATTCCTCCCATTTTGTAGATGAAGAAACTGAGGCCCAGAACAGTAAAGGGTCTAGCCCAAGGTCACACAGCTTGGAAGTGGTGACCGGAATTCAAACTCAGATTCTCCGACACCAAAGCCAGTGCTCTCTCTACCAAAGTAGGCTGAACATCACAGAAGGGAGCTAGGCAGGTTCTTAAGGAAGGAGAGCACATGCCCGCACATCACCCCCGACCTCCGCTGACTCCCAGGACCCCTGGCCCATACCACCAGCTGCAGGTCTCGGCTGCGCAGGACGGCGGTGTTCTTCTCTTCGCTCAGCTGTGCCAGGCGCATGGCTATCATGTAGTTCTCCTCCTTGAGTCTCAGTAGCTCCAGGCTCCCCGACTCCCAGTCCTCGCGGAGCCGCTGACACCGCTCTTGGGCCTGCAGCTGCTCCCCTAGCTTGCGTTCCAGTGTGGCCCGCTCCTCCTCCAGAGCCCGGGTCTGGGCCTGCAACTGCTGCTCCCTCTGTAGCTGGGCCTTGCGCTGCTCCCGTAGCCGCCTCACCTCTGTCATCAGGAACTGGGTCAGGCCCTCGGGACCCTCCTCATCTGCAAGGGGGCGAGTGACCAGTGAGCCTCCCAGGGCCTGCTCAGCTCCCCCTCAAAGTCCCAAAGGGACCCATCGACCCGGGTTCTAGTCCTGGCTTAGCCATTTAACGAGCTGGACAAATCATTCTCGCTCACCAAGTCTCAGTTTCCTCTTCTATTAAGTGGGAAATAAAAGCATATCAAAATAAGTACTTTTAAATTAGGAATCTCTATCTACCGATCTATCGTGTTCAGTCATTTCCAACTCTTTGTGACCCCACTTGGGTTTTTTTGTAAGAGATACTGGAGTGTTTTGACATTTCCTTCTCCAGCCCATTTTACAGATAAGGAGACTGAGGCAAGCAGGGTTAAGTGACTTGCCCAGGGTCACATAGCTGGTAAGAGTCTGAGGTCAGATTTGAACTGAGGAAGATGAGTCTTCCTAACTCCAAGCCCGACGCTCCATCCACTTCTCCACCTAGATGTCCCAACCATCTAGCTATTTAGATATAGCTATATAGCGAAATATTACTTGTGGTCTTCTGTAGAGGATGGACCGCTGGCCTCAGAGCTAGGACATTCTGGATTCAAGTCCCATCTCTGACATACACTGGACAAGTAAGTCACTTAACTTCTCAATACTCTCTGAGATTCTGAGTTGCAGAGCAGGTGCTGACCCACATTGGTGAAGGGTATTTCCTCATCCTAGAGTTCCTTATAGCAATGTAATCACAGTATATTCCTTTATCATCTGAATCAGTCTTCTCCATTCAAGCAGGATAGCAACTGAACATTATCAAATCTATTCTTAAATCTCTACAGAAAAAATGAACCACCTTCCCTCCTTGGAAGGGGCAGTTGTGAAGGAGTACATATACTGGTGAATAGGGCAGATGTGTGGGTACTTATGCTGAACCAATTTTTTTTTCTTCCTTTTGCTATAAAGGAGGCCTCTGGAGAGGGGCAGAGGAAGTATACTTGGAAATGGAAAGTGACATAGAAAACAAATGATATCATTTAAAATATACTAATATAATATTTCTCAAAAGATGGAAAAGCTAAGATACTCTCCTATTCCAGTGTTCACGCACACACACACGCACACACACGCGCACACACACTATCCTCTCTCAGGAAGTCCTTCCTCCTATCTGCCTTACATTCTTCCTGTTGCTGAACACAGGCAGATCTGCTCTTCCAGAAGAGGAGAGTAATAGTGACCCCTCACATTTGTGTAGTGTTCTAAGGTTCACAAAGGGCTTTCCTCAAAATCATCCAGTGAGGCAAATGCCCACGTTACAGCTGAGCAAACGGTAGCCTAGAGAAATTATTGGAGATGGCCTCAAGGTCACATAGCTTATAAACAGCAGTCTGGATTTAAAACCAGGTCCTTCAGCTCCAAAACCAATGTTCTTTCCATTACACCAAGCTTTGTTATCATTCACATTGTATAGAAGAAGAAACAGGCTAGAGAAAGAACAGGCTTATCCAAAGCCTAACAACCAGCCGGTCACCTGATGTCCCCTCCCTCTCTTCCTATCCCCCAATAATACACGGAGCAGACAAGACCCTTTGGGCCTCATTTGGGATCCCTAGGATCCCCTACTGTATATCTCTTCTCTGAAATTCAAAGCAGTTATTTCCAAGGACTCTCTCCTACAGAGAAGAAAAAGAGAAGGCTTACTCACCCAAGATCATGGAGCAGCGCTGAGCAGGTTCCCTCCCCGTCAGTAAGGTGAAGTGTTCTGGGTAGTAGAACTCTAGGGACTCCAGAAAAGCCTCATAACCTCGCCTACCTCGACATCTCAGGATATCCATCAGTCGCCCTGGGATGAGAGGGATAAAATGAGGGGCTGTAGCTAAGAACGGATGAAGCATTAGGACTTTGAGTTAGAAGAGATCTTACAGATTATTTATCCCAACACCTTTATTTTACAGATGGGGAAACTGAGGCCAAGAGAAGGAAACAGACATGCCTAAGGCTGTGGACCAGTACTCAGGTATTACGCCACAAACATTCATGTTTTAGACCTTCACAAAATTACAAAAGTTCATAGAAATTATAACTAGAAGAGACCCTAACTTGAGGTCTTTTGGCACAATTAAAATAGCTCTAAATTTTATCATCCTTTAATTTCATTTTACAGAAGAAGGAAGAGAGATGGAAAGGATCTTTTATATTAGGTAGGTGGTACGGTACCTAGACTCAGGAAGACCTGAATTCAAATCCCACCACTGACACTTACTAGTTCTGTGACCTCGAGAAGGTCATTTAATCCATCTGCCTGTTTTCTCATCTGTAATATAGGGATAATAATAGAAGCTACTTCTTAGTGTTGTTGTGAGGATCAAATGAGTTAACATATGTAAAGCACCTTGCAAATGTTAAATCCTACCTGCTATTATTACATCACTTTGGTCCCCTTACCTCATTTTAAGATGGAGAAACAGAGGCCCAGGGAAGGGAAGTCATTTGCCCAAGAGCACACAGCAGAGCTGCAATCTCTAACCCAAGTATCCTAGACCCCAGGTTTCCATCGTATGACAATGTTCACTCCCAGAAGAAAGAAAGCCTCCAACAATACCTCCTAAGAAGCCCCATTCCTGCTCTCTCCCTCAGCCCAAAGGGTCCAGCTTCTCACCAGTTCGGTTGATCCTGCAGGGGAAACTATAGGTGCTTAGCACCTCCTCTTCATCCTGCTCATCAATCACGCGACACTGGCGTAGATACGGGGTGAGCTTGGCGGGATTGAGGGCTCGAGTCAGCTTGTGCCGGATACCCTCGATTTTCTCCCACAACTCTTCTTCCTCAGAGCCCACCTCCTCCTCCACTTCAGCTGCCAATGGGGGCCTCATGGCTGCATCCTCTGAGTCTATAGTCACATGGGAGGAACAATACAGGTGCCCTGTGAGGGTTAGGGGCTCTGAAGGCAAGGAAATATGGCCCTACCTGGCTAAGTCAACCCATAGAGTCAAAAAGAAAAAAGAAAAAGCTACATGGGGGGATGGATTACTTCAGAAAAATCCTAGAATATGAGAGCCAGCAAGTTACCTTAAAACACAGAATGGAACCTGTGAACAAAGAACATCAGAACTGGAAAAGACTTAAGATTATAGAACGTTACAGGTGGAAGAGATCAAAGAACATCAGATCTAGGAAAAACCTTAGAACACAGAATACCAGAACTGGGAAGAACCTGAGAACACAGGCTGAGACACGGGAAGA